TGTAAAACAAGCCAATTCACTTCGTGAACTCGGCAACCAGAATACCTTTTTTTTTTTACCTCTGTTTTTTTTTGGCGGTAACCACAATGGTGGTCGAGTAGATCATGTTGTGCGGGGTGGAGAACCCTCACTCCGCAAGGGGGATGATCGCACCACGTTGTGGTAAAGTAGTCAAGCACCCTCGAGGCAGCTACACAGTGCTCACAACTGTCTCTGGAAGTGAAAGCACCAGAAAATAAATTAATTCATACGCAGCTGTCATCCGTACGCAAGGAAGTAAGCACAAGATGCCGAACACCCTTAGCAGGATGCAGCGCACCCTTCATGCGACTCGCCGAATATCTCACGGCGCTTCGCGCTTGGTGATGTGAGAGCCTGGTCCGGTGAGAACCCGGCGTGCTCCGTCCCGGCTTTGTAGGGATGCGAGGTCAATGGTCTAACGTCTACGGCATGCACGACTATGAGTACCCCCCCCTTGAAAAATGTCGACATCCCGACAATATTGCTCTACGGCCGTGTGCCCGACAAACATAAATCCTTGACTGGGCCATTGTGTCCCCTGTACTCTGGTTGGTGTCCACCTCTGGGTCTGAGTGCTCTACGTGATGGCACTAACGTCGGGATCTGTAGTCTCCTGGTGATTACAAATAGCATTCCGATGAACTCCCTCGCGCATCAGCACCCCGCCTTCTGCTCGGGTCACAATCAGGAGCATCCCAAAGCACACTCTCGCCAGCCCAGGCACAAGCATGCAAAGCGGACGTGAGGTGCGTTCGCCAACTACGTAAGTCACGGTTGATCACGCCCACTCCGTCGCCTCAAAATACAGCGAGAACTAATAGGAAACATAAATACAACACAGGAAGACTACCCATCAAAGCTGTGAAGAATGCACATGTGCGATGCCAAACAAATGGTCGCCGACCTATGTCTGTAGGATTTCGGTCAGACACCACTACCACCAACAACAACAACAACCCTCAGCGGTTTCTAACTTTTATCCACATAATTGTTGTAGGTGTGAGTGAGATTCTTTCGTGGGTGCTCACTTGCGAGAACAAACCATCCCGATTCATGAGGTTGGGACGAGACATAAACCCACGCCCCAAACGTGGGAGGGTTGCTAGGTTCCCAGCAGAGGGCTATGTGCTGTGCAGTGCTGCGCGCGACCAAGACCGGGAGCACACTCTGTAGGCGAACCGGAATATTTTCAACTGAACGATTCTCCCGACCCTGATTACAAGAAATAGAAACTGCGGTATCTTGAGTAGTCTACCTCGAACGCTTGACGCAGTTACAATCCACGCCATCGAGCCAGTAGCGGCGAGACCGTGCACCTGGGGTGAGCCAAGAACCTTTACAGGTGCACGGCATCCAGACTGGGTTGAGTCAAGCGTTGCATTCTCTCCTGGTGCTCTTACAGGCGGTCGGTCGAACAGCTTGCTCACCCACCTTCCTCGCTTCCGTATACATTCATCTTTATACAACTCGGAGCAGGTGCGTGCACATTGTTCACTCACCAGACCCAATGTTCGAGTTGGTTGTAGTCCGTACCTCTCCCTCACTCTTGGGGCGCAGCTGCTGCAATGTTGAAACGAGGAGCGTAGGTGCAGCATGTGTGGAGTGGGATGACTTGGTCAGTAGTGGTAGTCTCCACCCGTCCTAATACGATTTCTCGGATAGTTCCTTGGGTATGTGAAGCTTGTTGTGCAACAGGTTAGAGCGACTTCGCCCTTACCCCCTCTTGAGCCGCGGCTGAACCTTTCACGTAGACCAACCTAGCGCTTGTACCGCGGCATAGGCTTCCACGTTGGCTTTCACGTACAGTGATCCTGCGCCTCCGGATGTATAGTTTTTGTGAGAGGGCAGAGCTCCATTGGTTGGGTCCGGATCGAAAGGTTAAAAAAAAATCCGATCTGCAGCAGCAAGCCGCCCGGGTTCCGAACCGAGAAAAAAAGTATAGTCTAGTACAGAGTATGGTTCGTTCCGGTCGATTTTGGAATCCATCGGGGTAAACATTCTCCCTCGCCGCCCCGCCTATTATGCATCTGCGCATACCTCCCGACATGAAAGAAATAGCTGTTGTGCGTATGGGCCGGCGGGAGTAAATAACCTGCCTCCAACTGAAGAGGTGGTGAATACTTGTAGGAAGGTTCCCACCAACCCCGGCGATACACTGCGTAGAAACATCTCGTCGAGGGGTTTCCGACGAAGTACACCCTGTGATCGCCTCAGCCTCGACAGATGAGATTTCAATGCTGTGTCCATCGGCTGTGGTTACGTATCTTCTCATGCGACATACGTGCGCGACGACCAATCCCGCGACTTTTCCAACACTCCAGAAATGGCCTTACTTACGCAGGGCGGCCTCCAGTCACTCCGTGGTCCGCATTTTGCTTTTATAACGTGGTAGGCGGTCGGGCTGAGAAATCTGCCACGGTCAAGCAATGCACTGTTGGTACATGCTTTTGTTTCCGCAGCAGAAACCAATCCTGTTCGGAGTGGAACAAAAGGGCTGCTCACTTGTTGTCGTCCGTACTTGTGTCCCACTGCACTTTTGTGGTGAAAGGTTGGCGTAGGTGGGGTGATGCTCTCGACCGTTCTCGACCACCCCACACTGAACACAATATTGGGGACTTGAAGTATTTGGGGCCTGTTTTGAATCCAGGTCGTGAACATCAACAGCAACACTGACGGCAAGGGTGCATCAGGGAAACATCGGCACTGGCCAGCAATCTGTGCAACACACACCGAACATCGAGAGGAACAACGAAAGCGTCAGAACTACAGAGTAGAGGGTCTGCAATGCTGTGCCAAGGCACTCCGAAGGTCTCCGAGGTATTCTGTAGCATCGTTTGCGTTTAGTGATTCTTGTGTGAGAAAGTCACGGTGCGCACAACCGCAGTCCTACAACGACAACGGTCAGGCTTGACTTGCCATATCCGTTCCTTGATATCAGGAAAAAGGCACCGCCGACATGTACAACTATTGGTGGTAAAATACTCTCGTGCCTACACGTTGTGATCCAACAAAAACGGTGCTACGGTGCAGTCACATCCAAGCAGTGCGGCTGACCAAGTTGGACTAAGCGCACAAGGATGGTGCGGGTGCACTGCACGGCGTCGGTGAGACACGAGGGTGGCATCGTCATCACACAAAAACGCACGTGCGCAGCGTGACCCAGCGAAAGGGCCACAACTCGGGACACATACAAGACGCCAGGAGGATTTCGGGGTAAGTGTACGGCGTCGCTCCCTTGCTGGTAAGAACAAGCGCGGCCACTCCTGACGCACGCGCGTCTCCGAAAAAAGAGCGGCCAACGCGAAGCATCATCTGCGGGCATCCCACCGTACAGGGGTCGATCGACCGACGCTGCCTTAGCATCAGAACGGTATTCTCAACACCGCTCGAACACAACAGGAAAAATGTAAGAATGGTTCACTTCGGCATTGTATCAAACCCCGAGAGGGTTGGCATCCCCATCCACAGAACCTTCTCCGTTCCTATCCGAACTCGACATCAAGAAAAAACAGATTATTTTCCAGTCTCCGTAGCGCCCTTGCGCAGGCGCGCAATGGTGGATCGCACGGTCACCGCCGCGGGGGTGCTATATAAAAAAAACACATCATTTGCGGCGAGGAGCGAGGGGAAAAGCAAGGAGGGAAGGGACAAGGAAGGGCCGCAAATATTAGAGCCCGAAAGCTGCCGTTGATGTTGCTTCAACATCTTAAGAACACACGTTTTGCCTTCAGTAGTACCTGTTTTTTTCCCTACTCTCTCCAAAAGAAATAACCGAAATGGGATATGTTGATAATGTGTTCACATTAATAATCGCTCCGGTCTCCGCTCAGTACCTTTCTAATGTCCGGCTGGCCCAGCTGACGGGAACACCCCCCGCGGTCACCATGGTTGAAAGCTACAAAACTGATGGCAGCACCTCAAGTACTAAAACGCAAAGTCGAAAACGCTATAAAAGCGGTAACCATACCGGTATCACAACATCGTACTTAACACACACCCAAGCACAGCAACCAATGAGGCAACCAAAGGTTTCCCCAAAGAAAAGAACGAGAGCAAAGACTGTCTGCGAACGCAACGGCCCGCTGCCCGTGAGTTCGAGGGCAAACGAGTGCTTTTAGTCCGACTCGGGATTTCAAGAAAGAAACCCCGATTAATTTATGCGCAGTTGATATGGAGACTGGCCTAAAGGTTTCCCCAGTCTCGTAGTACCTGCGCAAGATGCTCCGTCCACTTGCGCCCTTTAGCGTCAGTTCAGAAGCATTCCCTTTGCACGTCGAATGCACGAGTGCACCACAAATACAAGCGACATCGATATCTACGCATGCCTGTGAGAGTTTTGGCTTTTCGACGAAATACAAAGTAGTGACGCAGCATACGACGGATGCTGCGGACGCATTTGCTGAGAGGACCGCCTACGGGATACCTGCCGCGGAAGCAGAGGACGTCAAGCAAAAACATGGTATGGATTTTTGTTGTTGTTGTCTTCACTTCAAATCAGCGCTCACAGCACTAGTGAAATTTACTCCAACCCGTGGTCACTTCCTTCTGTGTACACACGAACTAGCGCTATCCACCAGGCCAGGAGCGTAAGCGACAGAAAAACTCACTTTTGAAAGAAAAGCTCGCTCACGCCGGGATTCAAACCCATGCCCTGACACCTAGAGGGTTTCGAGGACACCAACAAGACTACCAGGGCGACCATTGACGGTCTGTACGGGCGAAAATCCATCGGTAACAATCGGAATCGTGGCCTCACGGGTAGCGTGCGCTGACGCCGTGGATTCATTACTAGTAATTTTTCTTCGACACTTATCTGGGGACAGATGGATTCTTTGTGTTGTATCGAGAACAAGTACCACAAACACCTTCCACCGCACAAGAGCGGTTGTTTGTAAACGTCAGGACACAAATACAGCACCACACTAGAGGAAAACAAGACACTTACTTCAGCGTGTAGGCGCCGCCCGCAGAGACCTTCCGGCAGGCGGAGCACTTCCAGATTCCGGTCACCATGCGCTTGACCGTGTCCTTTCCGCAGAAGGGACACGTGTACCTGGCGTGCTGGGTGATCTGCGCAATCGCGGCAGCGACAAGTAGCAGCAGCAGTTGTGAGACCCTCGAGATGGTGGGGGTGGGTGGGTGGGGACTGAAAGAGCACTTGTCACTGTTACAATCCTCAACAACACAACAGCGACCTCGAACACGCGAAGAATACCGACGACGACACAAAGAAACAAAACGGGCTTCTGGTCGCGCAGCGACAGCGAGGGTGGAGAAAAAAACGACCGACGGTTCGCGGACCGACCTTATACCCAACCAATTTTTCGGCCGACAACAACTACAGATGCGGAGATCTGGAGCGATTCGATTGCTGTGTATCGTATGCACATGATGAGCGACAGTGGCGATGGACATTTACGCGTCATGGCACACTTCGCTGATTGCAGGAAGATGCAGGACCCCCTGCCACAAGTACTCCGCTGAAAGCACACAGAAGAGAGTCAGAAGGACGAAACATGATGCTGTTGGAAGCCGCCCATGCAAAAACAAATGCGCCCGTCTACGTAACCCGTAAGGGAGGCTTCATGTGCCACACGGGGACCTTAAGGAAGGATGTGAGCTGAGCACGGATCTTATCTCCCCCGGGCGCCTTTTCCGGCTGGGCTTGTTGCGCAAAACAAAACAAGCGGGGAGCGATCCCGTACGCTTCATTTAAAAGAGCCAACACAAAAAACGCAAAAGAATGTCTGCGAACGCAACGGCCCGCTGCCCGTGAGTTCGAGGGCGAACGAGTGCTTTTAGCCCGACTTGGGATCCCCAGAAAGGAATCCCGGTTGATGTATGCGCAGTTGATATGGAGACTGGCCTCAAGGGTTTCCCCAGCCTCTTTGTACCTGCGCAAGCTCCCTTGACGTCGCCAACAACTCGTGCCCACATGTTGCCATGCTCGCCTACTAGCGCGCACGACTCGTGCTGTTAATGTCTTGAATGTCCTCGTGTAGAGGAAAACACGAGGTTACATTCGTACCGCGCGACCGTCTTACAGTACTGTACGCGCATACCTCACGCCCCCACGCCGGATGTCCTCTTATGCACATCATAGGTGTGACAAAGAACTCCCGTTTGGGAATCTTCCAACAAATACGATCTCGCAAGACCAGAGAGACAAGGAAAAAACGCTAGATTGAGCTTGGTCCCCTGCATGCGTGAACGTTGACGAGGAAAAACAAAAAACCATCGTGCCTGTCCATCCTCTTATCACTGCTGAACATAACGGCGCAACGATTAAATCGCCGCCGAGTGCCTACAGTACTCTCTCCTCAAGTGGCATTCGAAGTGCCGCAATTAGCAAGCGCGTTGCAGATGCGGGACGCCGAGACAACTGCAGGCAGTGCGCAACACCCGTCAATTCTTCCTGTCCGCAGCTGGGAACCAAACTACGCGACCACTGTATGTTCGATTTCCCTCCCTTCGGGGCTGTGCATGCAGAAAGGAAGCAAGACTCCCGGTCAAATGCATCGGGCGGTGTTCCAGCACGGCCGTAACTTGAACGTTTGGATGGCTTGACACTTTGTAAACTTAAACTTTCGAAAGTTGACCTCACCTCGATCTTCTTGATGACCTTACGGAGCGACGAACCGTACCGGACACCGTACTTCCCGGTGATTCCCACCTTCTTCGTGCGCCTACCCTGCAGGAGCAGCAGCATTTCATTTGGGGACGGGTGGTATGGGGGAGGGGGCGAACGACACAAGTTCAAGCGGGGATATTCATGGCGCAAGTCCACAGTCCAACGCTGTTTGCTCTCACAGTATCTACAAGCGTATACAACACACTGGTATACAATCACATGTACAGTGGCGTGGTGTGCATTGATACAATTTCAAGCAGGCATCCGCCAAAGGCTATTTGCTTTGTGGAAAACGCATGGAATCTCTCGGTAGGTGCAGCAGGTTTCAGCTCGTTGAGTTTGCCAGCTTGGCCACACCTCAGCAGAAACGACGCGATCAACGACACAAACCACGATATTTGACACTTGCTGTACAACCCACGGAAAGAGCGGGTGCGTTCGATAAGCTTTCCTAAGTGACATTCCAACGCCAGCGTGTGAGGGGGATATGAGGCACCTCATCTACCACAAAAGCTGGTGAGAAGATGCCGCGATCTCGGTGAAACATGAATACTGCTGTAATTCTGCAAGCAGTATCTACGTACTGCTGCCGTTATGGTCAGACATATTTCGGGCAGGTGACGGCGAGCTTGTGTTTGATCAAGTTCCAGTCCATGTAGCCACCATCTAAGACATGCGAAATACCCTCCCATGGCATCAAGGTTGACCAGCGATACAAAAGGCTGTGGAGCAAGGTACTACAGCAGTACGCCCTCGCCCTCTCTTGACAAAAGACTTCGGAGGAAAGGCGACGTTTGTTTGTCTTGATTTTGGAGGGTGGGTGGTCACAATTGTGCCCGCTGATCTTCGACAGAGGCTGCTGCTGCGCATCGGACCAAGGTTCTCGACCCTTGGTGAGATGTCAACGTCACGGTGATTGTCAAGAGGGCATCGTGCCAGTGGTCCGTCTGTCTCTCTAGTGCAGTGCAGCATGGTTGCTCGCTGTGTGCTCGCCCCTCGGCACAGAGGCGGCACGTTCCCCTCCAATTTTTTCGCTGGAGAGGACACCTGCTTTGCTCTAGCTTGGCTGTCTGCCACTACAAAACTGGGGTTGTACACAAATAGCAAAGGCGTAGATCCCTGCTGACATAAGGAATTCCGCTCGCCAGCAGGGCATTGACCCCCAGGGTGCAACTAGGTTGCCAAGAGCGGCAAGCCAGAGGTGAGCCTTGAAGGCATCTGGTTTGGCGGTGCTCGGCGGTCCTGCCAACGACCACAACAACGCCCGAGAGTAGCATCACATTCGACGATCGACCCAAGACGAAGGCTATACCACCGACGCTACCCTTTCCCATCCTCTGCTTCCTCTAGGCAACGACGCGTGCTTACCATGGTGTTGGTTGGGGTGCCTTGCCGTGAACTGGACAGAGCTCACACGACCATCCACACCCGGGTGTAATATATTCGTATCCCCTGGGTTTCGATGTATGCGCCTTCACAAGAATCAAATTATCAAGAAATTAGACACACTATTTGTGACCTACGGTTTTCTCTTTCCTGCCTTCCTATCGCCCAGGATATCGCTGTTGCTGTTTTTTCGTCACCGTAAAAAGCGTTCGTGACCTCGCCCAGCACCTCAGTCCCCCCCGCACCGCCGTGTCCCTCGAAGAAAAAGTCAAGATCAAGGGGTTTGAATCATCCCCCCTACCCCTATGCCGCGAAGCAGGCGTTTCTCCAAATTGCTGATCTCAGAAAAAGTGAGCGCGAGGGGTAAGGGGACACACGCGGCTGAGGCGGCACGTTGTGTCGCAGAGATTCTCTGGAAGATCGAAACGAGAGATACAGACAACGAGGCGGCTGGGTTGAAGGGACTAGCTTGCGATCGTGTTTTGTGTATTTGCGTAGAGAGGCTGAGCGTGACGGCGGGAGCAAGTAAAGGACGGGCGGGCATCAGGCCCGTCAATTTTTTGCGGCACTGCGGCAGCGTGGCCGCTCGAGATATTATTGAACGCTCTCGGCTAGACCTCAGCAAACTGCTTGCTTCGGCCTCTGCTTCTTGGACGGTTTAGAGATCCGAGAGAAGGCCCCGAATTTCACGAAGCCAGGGAGGGGGTCAAGCTCGAAAGGGCGACCTCGGTGCAACGCACGCCGGCGGGGCGTATGGATCGGGTGGACCAAAGCGTAACTCGACACGCGGCCGCGTCGCGGGCGGCGTACGAAACTCTCTACACCGCGTTCGCCGCTCAGCCCGGAGGCATCAGGGACTCGCACAGGGACGTGCTCCAGTCGCTCAGGGAGGAGCTCCGGCTAGACCAGGCCTTCGCGGACGGGGTGAAGTCGAGGAACGACAGCAAGAGGCAGCGGAGCCTGAGGGGATCGTCTGTGGCGGCAGGGGAGGAGAAGTCGAGCGGCGGGGGGGGGCTTGGAGACGGCGGCGCCGGGCTAGAGGCTGTGCCAGGGATCCAGATCGAGTGGAAAGAGGCAAGCAAACGCAGCACAAAGGCAGAGAGTAGAGACGACGAGTTTTTCGCGACGGGGGGGTGGTTGTGTCAGGGGAGCGCTTGAGAGAGGGATTGATGGTGACAAAATCCCTGTGTTTTTCTCTCGGATACCACAGCAGAGATGGTGGTGTGATTGCCAGCAACCATTACCTCACTTCCAGGCGCCGAACTATGCTGTAGACTGGAGGCGGCACATGAGTAGACAGCACATGTGGCAAATTTGCTTTTTCGACCAGATGCACACCTTTTCTTCGTGTCGACCATTTGCCATGATACCAGCTGAATCGAAAGACTACATATAATAGGAATGGACGACGAAGTACCGTTGTACTCAGTATGGTTTTTCGTGGAAGGGGCGCGGAGGTCTCGTTGTTCTCTCGGGAATGGTCTGCTTGACCATGTTCCCCCCTGTTTTTCGCGTGCGACCGCCGAGCTGTGTCTGCTATTGTTGTTGAACGTCGCAAAGCGAATTCCATTAAGAAGTACTTGCACCAGCAGTGCGCGATATCTGAGCGCATACTTTGTCCTCGGATTAGCGGCGCTGTGCGCACTGCCGGTAGTGAAGCGCCGTCAACACGGCATGTAGTTCCTAATCTACCACCTTTGACGGAGTTTGAGGTTTCGGAGAAAAATGACATATTTTCTCTGTTCCTCTGGCCTACCTACTTCGGCGGTGGTTCTGCGAGATGATATTGGCTTGTTATGGTTTCGGCTGGCCCATTTTTTGTACACACGTACATACGGGGTGTGTTCGTTTTTCTCCCATCATTGGACTCTGTCGTCTACCCCTCTGGCCCCTATCCTCCACTTCTACCAGCTAGACGACCCAACCGGGGTCACATAGGAGGGGGGGGCTGGACCCCCTCCTGCGGTTCCTGCCTGAGGTATTTTTATCGCGAGAAGGGTACAGCAATCCCTTCCCTCGCGACTTACGAAGTCGATGATGGTTTACTAACAAACGAGCTTTGCAGCGCGTTGCTTTCATCCTAGACCAGGATTTATTTGTGAGAAAACTCTCACTCTGCCGGGACTCGAACCCACGACCTGGCCCTTAGCAGGCTGCGAGGCTACCCACTAGACCACCGGGGCGACCGGTGTGTGACCCATCGCTCTTGTACGAGTCTAGATTCAAAGCTCGTTCAATGTGCGTGTTCTGGTTGTCGTGCTTCAATCAAACCAGCAGCGAGGAACTGACCTTGTACCTCGATGTTGTCGAGTCACATACATGCATGCGTTCGTCAAAGCTGTCGCGGTCTGGAAGGTTGACTTGAAATGAGTTCTTCACGAACGTACGGTATGGCTCATGTTCAGTAAATTGTACTGTTGCAAGACCACCCACCCAAATAAAACGAGATGGGCACGAATATTTCCCGTCGGGCGGCAAGCACACAGCACGAGGATGCCGCTGCTGTCCTTCCGGGTAACCAGTGCGAAGACCTGTGAACATTGTTACATTATTATTCTGTTTTACCGAGCAGTGCACCGCTGGTGTCGGTATGGGCAACGCAGGCGCGCTTTGCTCATGATAGCGACACTCGGCTACTGGTGGGTTACCAGCACTTGAAACGTATCACAACTCAGCATCGCCGTTTTTTTGCTACTGTACAGTTTTACGACGGATGCCTCACATGAATACGAGCAAGTTTACCTTGAAGCCTAAAGACCGAACGTTGCTCCAGATGTTCGCTGAAATCGCGCGGCCTGCCCCCCTAGTTTGCTTATTGCTGCAGAATCTCCTTTGACCTACTCTCAATTAGATTATAAAGTACTACTTATTGCTGTTTCTCAAGTCCCGTATGCATACAACATACATACTGTGCGTACCATACCGCGTCGTTGTCTATGGCATATGATGTAGGTCAAACACCTAGAGTCTACCGAAGGAGTACGACGCTGCCTCACAGCAGTTGCGCACTCTGTTGCATATAGTGTGGTCCACTCTACGGCGGGGTGTTCCATACAATCTGCCCTGACTTCCGAGCGTGATTTCGCCCTGTATTTTTTTCGTGATGTCTGGGTTTGGGAGGGTATGGGTTTCCATTTCCAATGCGGAAACCCGCGAGTGAAAATGAGCACCGTCTTTGAGAGCACCCCTTTGCATACTTCTTGCCTCTTATCTGCCCTAAGGACGTGTGGCACCTCGGGTTGTGTAGCAACTTCTCTTGGCCTTATTCCTCTGCCCTTGCTCAACCACACCTTCTAATGCCTCCCCCCCCCCCCCCCCCCCC